GTCTCCGTCAAGGAGGTGGGAGGGAAATAAACAGGCTGTTTGTAGTTTAATAAAAGGACCCCCCCCCCACCGGGGGGCTGCAAGATAGAGTGTGACCTTGCGCACAGCCAACCCTGCTTCCATCCCCAACATCACATTTGGTCCCCCGAGTCTGCTACGAGTGATCCCTGAGCACTGTCGGGTGTGGTCCCCGGGCAACAATGACACAAAGGCCCCTGCCTGCTGCTTCTGTGCTGTGAGCACTTCCGGGGCCCTGTCGCCTGGCATCTGGGGACGGCCGCCCCAGGACAGAGTCAGCAGGGCCGGCAACACGGCTACAGGCCCCTCCGGGCGGGAAGAATTTGTGCGTGGAGGTGGGGGTCCCTCTAGGAACGGCAGCCCCCCGGGCACCTCCCTTCTGCCCAATCTTCCTCGGCACCTGCGCCACAGGGCCCCATGAGGCCCGCATGGCCGGGTCAGGCCTGGGCAGGGCGTCCTGCTGGGCTGGGCCACGGCTGGGCTTGATGACGCCAGTCAGCTGAGAAGGACACGTTCCCTGTAAACGACTCACGTTAATGTTTGCCACGGAAAAAATGTCTGAAGAGCAGTGAGCAAATCCGTCCGACGAGGGAGGAGGCTGGAGCGATGGTGTGGCAGGTGCGGTGCCTGTGTGCGGCCCGCCTGGGTTCGACCCCCACACCAGAGCCAGGTGTGGTGCAAAATAAAAAAATAAAAATGCAGGGGCTGGAGCGGTAGCCCAGCGGGTAGGGCGTTTGCCTTGCACGCAGCCGACCCAGGTTCGATTCCCAGCATCCCACATGGTCCCCTGAGCACCGGCAGAGCTGGGACTCTGTTTGGCCATACCTGCTGTGTGCTCAGGGCTTACTCCTGATTCTGTGCTCAAGGGATCGTTCCTTGCTGGGCTCAGGGGCCGAACCCAGGTGGGACCCGCGCAGGGCAAGTGCCTTCCCTGATGTCCTGTCTCTCCGGGGCTCTGGGATCCGCTGACTGGAGGTAGGCAGGAGGGCTTCCTGGTCGAGGCATTTGGTCCGTCGGTGCGTGGTCAGGCCCGAGCCTGACTGTAGCCGAGAGCCTGTCAGTGAGGTGGACAGCCGGATGCTGAGGGGACAGACACGCACGCACAAAGGGTGACGGTGAGGAGCCGAGCGGGGCCTCTGGGCTCCTGGTGTCCCTTGCCAGCTCCCTGGACAGGAGAGACCAGTTCTGTTACGGCAGCTCTTGAGCTGCAGCTGCCCGTGGTCACCCTGGCCACCCCCTCTGCTGTAGCCCAGACTCTCACTGGCCTGATTCAGGCCACCAGGATTTCCCCTAAGTTTCTTCCTGGCACTCCAGCACCCCGAAGGTGGGGCCCCTCTGCTCGGAAGTCTCAGGCCCCCCGGCCGACTCCCCCCAACAGCCCCACCTGGGCCGTCCGTGGCCTGTCTGTCCCCGTCTCCTCCCTCCGGAGTGGCCTGGCCTCTTCCACTGAGCCCCCTGCCCCCGCTAACATGTCTGCCCCCCACCCAGCACGGCTGCCCCCCCCCGCGCCCCCGGCTCTCAGCACCCCTCAGCTTAGGGCCAGGGCAGACAGCCTGTGCCGGCGCCTCTGCTGTGGACACCCCCTCCCCCCGCTGCCCTTGCTCCCTGACCTCAGCCTGACCACAGGGGGGCCGTGGCCCCCGGGCCCAGGCTGAGTCCAGCTGCCAGGAGTCAAAGGTTGGCGGCAGAGCAGGACTGCGGGGGGCAGGGGGGGCTTGTGAAAGTGAAAGCAGGGCTGGGAGAGGCTGGGTGGGGGGCGGGGCTGGTGGGCTCTGGCGAGCGCGGCCCTACCGGGAAGTCCCAGCTGCTGGTCACTGGCCGGGCTGCTCCAGGGTGGCTGCCCGCATAACCGAGCGCCTGCGGCCTGTGGCCCGTCTGGGGAGCCCCTGTGGCATATCCTGGGGCGTGTCCCATCCACTTCCGCCTGTGACTGAGCAGGTGAGTGCCCTGCAGGTGGGCTGGGAGGGCGGACGTTCGGGCACAGCCCTGGCTCGGCTACTGGCCTTCGGGGCCCAGGGCCTCCGCGGGCAGCCAGACCGGAGTGGCCACTCCAGGCAGAGGGGACTCAGGCCCACACAGGTGGACACACAGGGAACGCAGACGCCGCTGTGCACAGAGCGTGGGGCAGCCTCCGCACACCTGCCGGGCTCGCAGGCGCAGGTAGGCCTGGGCCCCAGCACACGCACCACCTCCGCACTCCAGAGTCCAGCGGCTTATCTGCCCTGGGGGTTCAGAATCACTCGCTACCTGGGGGCTCTGACCCAGCGTCTGGGAGCTGTAATTACCCTTCAACCGTGGGAAATTTGGCATGAGCTGGCACCTGCCCAGAGCAGAGGTGCTGACTGGGACCAGGGCTCAGCAGATCAGGGAAGGCTTCCTGGAGGAGGAGTCACTTGGAGGCCTGCCGGCGAGAGAAGGTGGGGCAAGGGTGCTGCGGACAGAGGGAACAGACTGTCTGAGGGTGCAGAAGGCAGCGCTTCTCGGTGGTGAGAACGGGGGGAACGAGGGCAGCCCTGGGAGGAAGATAGGTGCGGGGGGCCCCCCCGGGCAGGTCTGATTCGAGCAGGGTTTCTGGGTCCATTTGGGGGGTGCTCCCCAAGCAGTGCTCAGGGGTGTCTACAGGCTGTTGTCTGGATTCAGGATGACTGGGGGCACCCAGCCACTGTGGCCACGCTCAGGAGGGCAGCTGACTGGGAGAGAGACTCAGGGCCACTCAGGGCCAGGTGTGGCCCCCGACCTCCCTCTGTTCGGGTCACGCAGCCTCTCAGCCGTCTTTGCTCGGTTTCCTGCCTGGTACTTGCGCCAGCCCCTCCAGGCCACCCGCGGCATCTCCCTGCTCCCAGGCTCAGCTCGCAAGGGAGGGCTGGGGCGTGCGGGGATGCTGTTTTGGAGGGTGTCCTGGAGGGGGCACAGCTGTGGCCGCTGACTGGTGATGGGGCGGCAGGCGACAGGAGAGGGCCAGCACCGGCCCCGGGCGGCAAGCAGGGGACAGTCAGCTGGGGGGGCATTGGAGCAGGGCACATCTAGGGAAGCTTGGGTTGGGGGCCCCGCTGGGCACATGGCGCTGTGGGTCCGGAGCAAGACACTGGGCCTCTGTGGGCCCCCGGGGCAGCTGCCGCCAAGGGGGACCAGCAACGTGCCAGAGAGAGACTCTGGGTGGGCAGCGCCTGGCAGGCATGGGAGCACGAGAGCCCCAGGCCAGACACTGGGGCTCCAGCAGGGGCCTCGCCACTGGGGCAGAGCTCGCTGGACCACCAGACATGGGGCACTCCTGGCTGCTGGAACCCGGGTCGGGTTTGGAGCCCCCCAGGACGCTGATGTGCGTGGCCAGAGGCTGGTGAGGGGGTAAGGCGGGCAGAGAAGGGAGCTCAGGCGATGTGGGCGCCACAGGAGGTTGAAGTGGGGCTCATAGACCCCGGGGTCAGGGAAGGTCCAGACCAGCTTGGGGAGCTTCAAGAGCAGAGAGGGGTGGGGGTTCCCTGGAGGTGAGGGGGGGCAGTGTTTTAGGGTCGGGGCCCAGGAAGCTGGTGGTCCTATATGGTGTGTTCTACTCCCCCCACCAAGCCCCCACTAGCTGAGGAAGGCTCCTGCCTCTCTGAAAGGGGGTGATTTGGGGGGTCCCACCAAGAGCTCCTGGGCATGGGGGTGACCCACCAAATGGCAGGATGCCCCAGACCAGGGGCCTGCCCTCCCCCACCGCCGGATAGGGTGGAAAGCCCATGCGAAGGTCCTCGTCCTCACTCGGGGCCCAGTGCAAGGGGGTACTGGTGCCTCCTGGGCTGTGTCCCCTGCCCTGGACAGCCGGGCAGGGTCCTTGCTGGCGCCACGGCCGTCCTGCCCTGTGGCCGGGCGGGGCTGATAAGGCTGCTGTCAATCACTGGCCGACCCGCCCTCCTACTTCTTCCAAGCCAGCGGCCGGAGGCCTCTGCCTGATCCTGGGAGCAGTTCTTACCGGAGGGCGCAGGGGTGAGGGTCCGTGCCCACACACTGCCCCCAGAGAGGTTAGTGCCCCGGCTGCCAAGCCCTGGGCAGGCACACGGGGGCGCTGGCCTGGGCCAGGGGCTTCTGCAGTCCGGCTGTGCCTGTGACCCCCATTTCTCTCATCTTGGGGCTCAAGTGAGACCCCGGTGGCCTGCCAGCGCCCTGCCCCTATGCGCCGTGGGTGTTGGTGGGTGCGGGAGGGCCCCTGGCTCAGCTTAAACGCAGACAAGCCAACAGCAGGTCCTGGCTGAAGGCGCTGCCGGCCTCTGGCTGCAGACCCATGGGGGCAGGAAGGGCCCCCATGTACCCTCTGGGACGCACGTCGCTGGGTGGGAAGGAGATTCAGCTGGTAGAAGCAGCACCGGGATGTCCCCTCTGGGTTAAATATAGACCCGGGGCCCCTCCTGTGGAGGCTGCAGGCACTGATAAGGCCCGCAGGCCCGCCCACGCTGACAATCTCCCCGCCCGCACCAGCCTGGGGAAGCCCAGGGAAGACGGTGGCCACGGGCGACCCCGATCCCCTCTTGGATGGGAACGATGGGGGTGAGCTGTGGGGGTACGGTCAGGGGCTGGGGCTGTGGGGTCCCGTGGCCATTTCAGGCCAGGCTCCAAGTCTGGACCCTGAACATCCACCCCCATTTGTTAATAGTTGGGGGGGGGGGCAGCCTGGTGGTGCTCAGGTCCAGTGGTCTTGGGGGCCACCAGGGTCTTCCCTGGAGGGACTGGAGGTGGGGCATGGCGTGCCAGGGATGGACCCCAGGGCCTTGCACGTGCGAGGCAGGTGGTCTGTCGCTCACGCCCGTCCCTGCCCCCTCTCTGATGCGGGTGGGCGGGGCTGGCCTGGCCACACCAGTGAGGGTGGGGGTGTGGGCAGCTGCCTGGTGACGCTTCCCCTCAGACAGACCCGGGGTCTTTCCCCGGCGCTAGCTTCGCATTGGCTGGGCCCCATAGAACGCGCCCCCCAGGCCCTGGCCTCCTTTCCCCCCAGATTTGATGCAAAGATGCCCTCACCGCGGACGGTGAGGCCTGCGCCGGACCTGCCGCGCCCCAAGGAGCCCGCAGAGCCGAAGACCCCGAAGCAGCCCAAGCGGCGGGCCAGCAGCGGGGACGCGCCCAACACCCCCCACGAGAACACATGGCCCAGCCTGGGCCTGGGCACGCTTCGCCGGGCATTTGTCCGGGCCAGCCACCGGGTGCCCAAGCGGGCCACCGGCCAGGCCTCCGGGGAGGAGGCGGGCCGGCTGCTCCGAAGCCCCCAGCTCCTGTTCCGCTCGCTCCGCCGGCCGCGCACCTCTGACCAGACCTGGGCCACGGACCAGCCGCAGAAAACCGCCACGCAGGGGGCGGCCCACGGCCAGAAGGTGCCCACGAAGGCCAGCGGTGGCTTCAGTCGGCAGGTGTCTGCTGACAGGGAGCCAGTGGGACCAGAGCCTGAGACAGGTGAGGAGCTGTGAGGGCAGGGGGGAAACTGAGGCAGGCAGTGCCCAGGGCCCAGCCCTTCACAGGTGCTCCTGTGGGCGCGGGCCTGGCCTTCCCACCAGGGCAGAGGAGAAACGGGAGGCTCAGAGAGGCAAAAGGACTGCTCTCCGCTCCCATGGGGGCAGCGGGGGGCGCTGGGTCTGAGCTGGAGGCCCAGAGAGAGGTGACGGGCACAACCCGCTCACAGGGCGGAAGAGGCTGCATGGAGGGTGCCCAGGGTGGAGTGGCTGAGATAGGCCTGGGCAGGAGGCAGGGGCTGATCTGAGCGGCTGCGGCAGGGCTTGGGCGTCCCAGGGGGTTGTTTGGTGTTTGGGTGGGCCCTGGGCGGTTCCGTCGCTGCCCCTCTCGTCGACTTTGTCCCTTTCAGAAGACAAATCTGTGGCCGACCTCATCACTGAGCGGCAGCTGCTGGCGGCCTTCAAGCAGCTGCAGCACCTGGAGGATGCGCTGTTGGCCGAGAAGGCGTCGCACACCTTTGAGGGGGACCCCACGGGCTTTGCGCGTCGGGCCATGGACTTGTGTCTGCACTACGACGGGCTGGCGGCCGAGCTGGGGGCCGTCGTGCGCGAGACGCTGGGCCCCGACGGCGTGGACACGGCCGCGCTGGCCGAGCTGACCAGCGTGGTGCTGGCCGAGGAGGAGGCCCACCCGGTGCCCCCCGCCGACGGGGACTTTCTGCGCACCCCGCGCCGCTGGCGCCACCTGTGGGAGGAGGCGGTGAAGCGCAGCGCGCAGGAGCGCGTGCAGCGCGCGGGCACCGCGGGGGCCTCGGGGGGCGAGGTCGAGCGGGCGTCCGACCTGGCCCAGCTGCTGGCCGAGCTGGGCAGCACGGTGCGCTGCGACCTGCAGAAGGTGCAGCGGGAGGTGCAGCCCGTGTACGCGGCCGCCGGCTTCCCCGCGTGGGAGGTGTACCTGCGCGCCTTCCACGCCGCCGTGGCCCAGCGGCTGCAGGAGCTGGCGCAGGGCGCCCACGGCTGCGAGCAGCTCTACCTCCTGCTGGACTGGGCCGCCAACATCTACGGCAGGTGAGGCCCGCGCCAGGCGCTGCCCCCAGCCGAGGCCAGGGCGCAGGGCCTGTCTTCCCGGGAAGGCGGAGGGCAGGGATGGCAAGAGCGCGCGGGGGCCGTGCTAGCCAGCCACTGCGGAGAGGAGGCTCTCGAGGGTTCCCCTGTGGACCGTCCAGCTCGGGTCTGCACTGAGCAGTGCCGACTCCCGCTGAGCCCCGGGAGGAGGGTGCCGGAGTCCCGGGCCCCCTAAGCACGGCAGATACCGGACCTCTCCACCCTGCACTATGGGTTGGATAGTGGCCAGTCCCTGAGCTGCCGGATGCTCAGATCTCACACCTGGGCGTGCCCCGACCTTGAGGCTAGAGGTCAGCACCGAGGCAGCGTGGCCGAGGTCCACTGGGACGTGGTTCTGTAGCGTAGCCGGAGTCAGGCGGTTTGAGTAGTTTGGGTGGGGAGCACAGCTGGTGGAGGGCGTGGGGCCGGGAGGGCTGGGCCAGCCCAAGTCCAGGTTCGGGTGCTGCACTAGCAGCTTTGAACCAGCCAGAGGGCAGTAAGGGGCAGCTGCTGTCCCATCCGAGCCCTGTCCTGGCCCTCAGCAACCGCTCTTTGCCTTTCAGCCCTGACTTCCTGGGCACCCCAGACCTGGCTTTGCCCGCAGAGCCATTGCCCCCTCTGCTGGCACCAGACGTGTGGGCGCGACTGGAGAGCGACTATACCAGCTTCCTCGAGGTCAGTGGGGCCACCTGGGAGGTATCCATACAGGGGAAATGGCCAGACGGGGGCGTGGCTAGATGGGGCGTGGCCAGGAGGGGCGCGTCCAACTAGGGGCGGAGCCAGGTGGGCGTGTCCGTGCAGGGGTGGGCCTGTCCGTTTGGGGAAGGGCCAGATGGGAGCGTGTCCGAATACAGGCATAGCCAGATCCGGCAGGCCCTCAGGGGCGGGGCCAGATAGGGGCGTGTCCCCCGGGGCAGTGCCGATGACGGCTTGTTCAAACAGGGCGGGGACAGACAGGGGCGTGTGTGCAGGGTGTGGCCAGGTGGGGGCGTGTCCATCCAGGGTGGGCCAGGTGGGGGCGTGTCCATGCAGGATGGGGCCAGGTAGGGGCGTGTCCGTGGAGGGTGGGGCCAGGTGGGGCCAGGTGGGGGCGTGTCCGTGGAGGGTGGGCCAGGTGGGGGCGTGTCCGTGGAGGGTGGGCCAGGTGGGGGCGTGTCAGTGGAGGGTGGGCCAGGTGGGGGCGTGTCTGTGGAGGGTGGGCCAGGTGGGGGCGTGTCCATGCAGGATGGGGCCAGGTAGGGGTGTATCCATGCAGGGTGGGGCCAGGTAGGGGTGTGTCCGTTCAGGGTGGGGCCAGGTGGGGGCGTGTCCGTGCAGGGTGGGGCCAGGTGGGGGTGTGTCCATGCAGGGTGGGGCCAGGTGGGGGCGTGTCCGTGGAGGGTGGGCCAGGTGGGGGCGTGTCCGTGCAGGATGGGGCCAGGTAGGGGCATGTCCGTGCAGGGTGGGGCCAGGTGGGGGCGTGTCTGTGGACGGTGGGCCAGGTGGGGGCGTGTCAGTGGAGGGTGGGCCAGGTGGGGGCGTGTCCATGCATGGTGGGGCCAGGTGGGGGCGTGTCCGTGGAGGGTCGGCCAGGTGGGGGCGTGTCCGTGGAGGGTGGGCTAGGTGGGGGCCAGGTGGGGGCGTGCCTGTGAGGGACGGGGACCGGAGGGGGCGTGTCCGAGCAGGGTGGGGCCCAGAGTCCCAGGCCTGGGGCCGCATGCCCACTGTGGCCCTCAGCCTCGCGGGGCCGGACATCATCCCGAGCCGATCCTGTGGCTCCAGGTGGGTGGAGAGCGGCTCGGGGCAGGGGCTGCACAGCTCGCCCTCAGGGGCCGCCTCACTGCCGCGCCCTCCCCCGTCGCATAGAGCAAGATCTCCAGCTGCTTCGACAGTATCCTAGAGCTGGAGCAGAACCGCTGGGCGGACGCCGAGCCCCCCGAGGTGCTGCAGGGCCGCTACCACACGCCTCTGTCTCCTGATGTCCACATGGTGAGGTCCCGAAGGGGGCCGGGAGGGACTGGGCTTGTGCTTGGAGAGTGAGCAGTGGTGGTGGTGGCACCCTGAACCTGGAGGGACACCTGCACCTCCTCTGGGGCCCGTGGGGCTTAATTAGATGCCCGCAGAGTGCCAACTTGGGTGTTTGGGAGTGCCGGCTGGGGGTGGGTCCGAGACTGAGACCGGGCAGGGAGGGGGGACTTGGCTGGCCCAGGGATGGGGGACGGGCCAGGGAGTCGGGACCGTGGGCGCAGACGCCTTGAGCCCCTGGTGTCGCTTGCAGCTGGTGGCAGAGCACGTGAAGGCAGCCGGCGCCATCTCACGGGAGCTGGAGGCCACCACCTTGCAGATCTGCGCGCGTGGCCTCGGCCTCTTCGTGCCCCGGTGCGGGCGCCTCCTCGCTGGGGCGGGGTGGTGGAGGGTGACCTGGGAGCGACGGCGGCTGGGAGGGCCCGTGGGCTCAGGGTGTGAGATCCAGGGGGCGTGGAGGGGTGCCCCACCCTAGGACGCGCGGAGGGCGAGCTCGGAGTCCCAGCGCGTCTGGGAAGGCTCCCCAAGACCTTCGCGTACCCCGCCCTCAGGTTCGAACGGGCTTTCCTGGAGTCGAACGCGGTGGGCGAGCCGCACCTGTGCGCCAACATCAACGCGGTGGAGGAGCTGCGGTGGGTCTCCAGGCCCCGGGCGGGGCGGCACGGGTGCGGCCAGCAGGGGGCGCGCGGGCCCGGGCGCCGGCACGTGGGCGGCCTCCAGGGGGCGCGCCCGCCGCATATTGGGGGGCTCAGCGGCCACGCACGACCGGCCCTGCCTTCTGCTACCAGAGCGGCACGTGTCCGTGTCCGGCGGGACCCGGCTGGCACATCGGGGCTGGTGCGGGCGGGGGGAAGGCGAGTGGAATTGCGGCCCACTCCGTCACCCGTCCCGGTCCCCCACCCCAGGACCAGTCTTCTGACCCGGTTCCCAGGCACCTTTGAGGGGCTGGAGAAGCCCCTGGGGGCGGCCGCCCGCAGCTTCCAGAAGCGGCTGCTGCAGTGTCTGCAGCGGGGCACACAGGTGAGCTGCAGAGGCGCGGCTGGGGTGGGGGGCGAGGGGGAGAGGCAGCGCCCCGACAAGCTCCCAGCTGGGCGGGGACAGCAGGAATGCACCCACCGAGAGCTGGGAAGTAGCTCCCCAAAACAGGAGGCTGGAGACCCCCATGCAGGGGGCATGTGGCGGGGAGAGACGGGTCGCAGGTTCATGGTAGGGGGTGCCGAGAGCGGAGAGGGTGCTGCTAGGAGACCCCCGCCCCAGCCTCTCTTCAGGGTTCTGTGCACCAAGGACTGGCTGAACCAGGACGCGCTGCAGCCGCTGCTCGACCAGGTCGAGGCCTTCGCCGGCCACCTCCAGCGTGTGGTCCCGCCGCTGGCACAGGTATGCGGGGGCCCGGTGGGCGCAGGCCAGGCTGGAGCCCTGAGCCGACCCTGAGCTGCGCCCCCAGGAGACTCTGCAGGAGGCGCACCGCTTCGTGGTCCGGGACTACCTGGCGCAGGCGCTGAGGCCCCGGGAGCGCTTCCGGGGTGCGGACCGCGTGACCGGCTCGCAGAAGATGAGCCTGGACGCAGATGCCATCAACAGCACCTTTGAGGACCTGGTGGGTGCCGGGGGCGGCGGGGAGGGGGCGGGCCTTGGGCGGGCGAAGGCGACCCCCGAGCCTCGAGGCAGATGGGGCAGCCCCCACCCGCTCCCTGCAGGGCTCCCAGGCCACGTGGCTGCGCCAAGCAATTCCCAGCGTGGCCGACATCGTGGGGGAGACTTACAAGGACTACATCCAGCGCCACCTGGAGACCCTCATCGACAGCTACCCCGACATCAGGTGCCTCCACGGGAGCCAGGGGAAACGTGGGGTGCTCTGGGAGTGCTCCCCTCCCCTGCCGGCTGGTGGAGGGGGACCTCTGGATGCCGGGGAAGGAAGGCGCTGCCGGCTCCCAGAGGGAGTTGGGGGGGCTGATGAGTCACAGCCCTGGAAGTCCCAGCCGCTGTTTTGGATTCCTGGAGATTCTGGGAGACGGCCCGGCGCCCCGCGCCCACGGCCCACTGCCCGCCTCTCGCCTCCCCTTCTTGGTGCCGCACGCACCGTGGGGTTCCCCTCCAGCCATCGGGGGTTCCCCAGTCGGCGGCCGTCCCTCCCCATCCCCGCGCTCCCCGTGGCACTCCCGGGGCCCCCGGAGGTGCAGTGACGCCCCGTCCCGGCAGGCGCGACCACGTGCTGGCCATCCTGGCACTGCGCAGACTCGGGCGCCGGCGGAACCAGCGGCTGCTGCAGCGCGCGCACGAGATGCTGAGCGCCGAGAAGCGGGACGCTCCGGACCATGTGCTCTTCGGGGAGATCGAGGTGCCCACTTCCATGGACGTGCTCATCACCTGCATCTAGCGCCCCTGCCCCTTGAACCTGCGCCCCCCCCCCCCCCTTGGTATTCCCTCCCAGGTTCCGCGAGCATCTCCGGCATGTGTGGGGGACGCGTCTTTCTATTTGTGGCGGACCCTCCCAGCAGTGCTCGGGGGAACGCCCGGCGGTCCAGCGGTCCTGCACAGCTGGCCATGGGCCCAGGAAGCTGGGGATCGAGTCCTGCCTCCTCCTCCACATGCCAGGCCTGCGTGACCCACTGAGCCTGTCAGCCCTGCGGTTCCTCCTGCCCAAACCCCAAGGCCACCCCAGTCTGCGGGGAGGAAGAGTATTTATTTTGTAAATAAATGTGAATTAAAATGGAACCTTCCTAAGGAAGGGAAGGGCCTGAGGGGGCAGGTCCGGGTTCCCAGGCCAGCCTAGACGATTCTGGAGTGAAGACAAGGAAAGGCAGACAGCCCCTTTCTGCTGTCTGGAAGGGGAAACTGAGGTAGAGCGGGAAGGGGCCACCCAGGTGCTGGGCCTGAGGTCTCTCCAGCAGGGTGGACCAGCGCCAAGACTCACTCTGTACCTTGGAGCATTTACCAGAAGGGAGAGGGACTTCCTGGCAGTGAGAGAGGGGGGCAGGCCGCAGGGGTGAGGCTGCACCCCATTCCTCTTCCCCACCCACCTCTGCAACGTTGGCCCGAAATCCGACCCCAGCTGCAGCCCCTGGGAAACAGTGAGGGGTGGGGCCCGGACAGGTGTGTGTGTGGGGGGGGGGGGGGTGCCGAGGTAGGAGGATCAGATCAGGCATGTGCCCTTGCTGGCTGAGGGCCCGGCTGGCTGACCCCAGGGGCAGCGAGGCAGTGCCAGGCAGAGCAGCCTCACTCCTTCCTCGGCCCCAGAACAGGAGTCGGGCGGAGTCTTACTGGCATCCTAGGGGGATGTCACCAGCAGCCCCTGGCAGGGAAGGCTCAGTGAGCTGGGGCCAGGGCAGGAATGAGGAAGAAGGGAGCAGGGGAGCTGCGGGGAGGGGGACCCAGTGCCAGCGTGTGAGTCATGGCCCCCCTGAGCCCTGCAGAGTGGGGAGGCCCCTCCGATGAGGCCCAGGGCCATCTTCCTGGGTGTCCTGAGGCCCAGAGACGGGAAGTTGGGACTTTCCTGGCACAAACCTCTGTGGCCAGGGATGTGTGCGTGCACGCATCCGTATCCAGAGGGCTGGGACTGGCTTCCCCAGCCTGTGTGGGTGCAAGCAAGCCACATGGCACCTCCCGGGGCCGTCAAACCCAGAGCACAGGCGCCACCCCTTCTACCCTGGTCTGTGGTTGGGCCGGATGAGGCCTTGCAAAGAGCCCCAAGTGTTGGGCCACCCTGTTGCCCAAGGCCAAGAGGGACTGGTCCTCACCTGCCTCCGGATGAGCTGAGGTCAGGCTGATAAGGAAGGGATGCGTGGGGGTTGTATATGTGAGTGTGTGTGTATGTGTGCAAGAGTATGTGAGTGTTACGAGGTTATGATGTGTGTGTAAATATAGGAGCAGGTGTCTTTGTATGAGTGTGGGGTTGTTTATGTAGGAGTGGGTGGAAATGTAAGTGTACTGAGAGCATGTACGAGTGTAGGTAAAAGTTTATATGTATGTATGTGTGTATATGTGAGTGTGTATGTGTGCATATATAGTGCGAGTGAGTATACTGAGAACATGAGTGTGTGTGTATGAGTGTCTGTGTTTGAATGTGTATTATGAATGTGTGTGAAGACTGTATATGGGAATGTACATGTGTGCATATGTGTGTATATGTGTGTACTGTGCATGTGTATGAGTGAATGAATTTTTATGAATATGTGTCTGTGTGTTGCATTCGGAGATGGTCGTTCCGTTGAGAGCGAATGGGGCAGATAGGCAGATAGGAACAAGGCTGTTTCTCATAAACATTGTCTTCGTAAGATTCAGCTGTAGTCCGACCTTTCCACACTCACGGTCAAAGTCGGCCAGCATTTGTGCCGCTTGGCTGATGTTTGGTGTTATTAAAACAATGTCATCAGCAAAGCGGAGGTGGTGTAGTTGCCGACGACCCCCTATCTTCACTCCCATTCCTTCCCATTCCAGTCGTCGCATGATGTTCTCGAGGGTGGCACTGAAGAGTTTCGGTGAAATGGTATCACCCTGCCGCACCCCTCTCTTGATATCTGTTGGGTAACATTGCTTTGTCCCTCTACAAGAAGCTTAGGTTTTATCTGGTTACACCCATCAATCTGGTTACACCCATCACAGTGCTCCTGAAGCACTTCCACTTCCATTGTGTTTATCTGTAAACTGTCTTCCCTATGCTCTCCTTCCCACCCAGCTAATCAGCTTTCCCCTTAATCAGACTGTTAATTTGTAAGATCAGTTTCCCAGCAATCTATGATTTTATATGTATGAGTGAAATATTGCCTTTCTCCTCTCCATATGCCTTATGAACAGTTTACCTTAAAGTAATATCCTTTTTGTATAGATACAGAAAGAACGTTAACATTATGCTAGGTAACTTAGGATTTGATTGGCCTTTGAATATTATTCACTCCCGGGCATCTGCTTTCTCGACTTAAGCCTCAGTTGCCCTTAGTTCCTAACACCCCAAAAGCAGGGTCCCGACGAGGGACTGAATGGACCCAGGGCAAGCGGTGAGCTACCCTGGCAGCGAAATGGGCCAGGCCAAAGTGCCACGATTCTTAACTATAAGTTAAGAGTTTGATCATAGACAAATGCTGTCATGATCTAAAGGTAACGACGAGACTAGGATTCTGCTAGGGGTGGGAAAGACTATCTGGCCTGAGCACCGTAGTCTGAGATCAAGATGGCCCTAGGAGAGCAATTCTATAAGTTTAAGATATTTCTTACTGTATCCATACCAAATGATTTCTATTATATATGCTTATATGCTTGTCGGACAAGGAGAGGAGAGACACACCCATGGGATCCTGCCCTAGGGTGGGTTGTCCTACTGAGAAAGGATCTGTCCTAGGAGCGGCTTTCCCTGAGGCTAAGAGTTCTACCCCTATTGATTGTGACCGCACCTATGTGTAATTGTTCCCCCAATTCCTCATGGAGAGAGGATTTAACTGTACTGTAGGAGCGGGCTGGGGGCAGAAGGAAGAAGAGAGTTCAGAGAGGATCAGAAAGAAGAGGAGGATAAAGGGGGATGGAGAAGGAGAATGAAGTAGCATGGGGGCAGAGACAGAAGGAGAGACGAGGAGAAACAGAGAGAGACGGGAGCAGAGAGACAGAAGGAGAGAGGGAGCAGAGACAGATGAGGAGAGAATCAGAATAAACTACGACTAATATCTACCAGCCTGGCCCTCATTCCTTCCTCCACCTGACCATCGCCATCGACCTCTCCGGGGTGGGAGAAGGGTGAGACTACCGAACGCGGGTGGTGGGAGAGATAGAGCCACCGCCGCTGTGAGTGCCGTGCCCCCCACTTTGTGTGAGTTTACACAACATCAACGATCACTTCACTTCTTTGTAGAATGGTGAGATCCTGGTAGTGAATCTGTAATAAAGCTCACGGAGGATCTTGATGTATTGAGTTTGTACGCCCTGATTGGCTAGGGCTTCAATGACCGCTTCCGTCTCAACAGAATCAAAGGCCTTCTTTAAATCAATGAACGTTAAACAGCGGCATCTTGAACTCCCGAGAAACCTCAATGAGTTTGGTTATTGTGTGGATATGGTCGATGGTGCTGAATTCTTTGCGGAACCCGGCTTGCTCGCATGGTTGTCCTTCATCTAGTGTGCTGCCAATCCTGTTTAGGATGACTCGAGTGAACAACTTGTAGATGACAGACAATAGGCAGATCGGGCGATAGTTGCCAATGTCATGGATGTCTCCCTTCTTGAACAGTAGTACGGTCCTGCTGGTTTTCCATTGGGACGGAACCTTGCATTCAGACAGGTAGCGAGTGAAAAGCCGAGCCAGTGTGTACCTAGGTCGAGAAGTCAACATGACAAATGACCTGGCACCCGAGCTGCGCAGGAGGAAGAGAGCGGCTTGGAACGCCTTCAAGAGCTTCGAAGAAAGAGCTAAGAGGACAAAGAACCTCCGGCTCCGGGCACATCTCTTTGATTCCACTGCTCTTCCTGCATTAACATATGCCTCAGAGACCTGGGCCCTACGCAAACAAGATGAGAACGCCATTCAGGTCTCCCAAAGAAGAATAGAAAGAGCTATGCTTGGAATATCACGTTTCACTCAAATGAGAGAACGAATCCGGAGTTCTGACATCCGTCGACGATCAAGAATCAGGGACGCTGTCTCATTTGCCAAGGTGTCGAAAATCAGATGGGCTGGTCACGTAATGAGATTTAAAGACGACCGCTGGACTAGAGCTGTTACCGACTGGATTCCACGGGATGTCAAAAGACCGCGTGGCCGCCCACCTACCAGATGGTCAGACTTCTTCGTCAAGATCATGAACGATTGGTTTGAGGCTCTTCATGTTCCCAGAGCGAACAGATGCCATTGGGCTACACTAGCACGCGACAGGGACAAATGGAGACGTTACTGGCGCCCGTTCGAGCAAATCGACGACTAACGGGAAGTTAAGTGATTAAGTGATTAAGTGATGTGTCTGTGTGTGCATATGTGAATATGTAAGTGTATGTGAGTATACCGAGAGTATCCTGCCCGCACGGCAGAACCTGACAAGCTACCTGTGGCATCCTCGCTATGTCAAAAACAGTAACAATGAATGGTTCTCATTCCGCTGACCTTGAAGGAACCCCCAATATGTCATCGGGCTACACTTGCATGTGACAGGGACAAATGGAGACGTTACTGGGCCCGCTCGAGTGAACTGAAGAACAACGGGGTGATAGTGATAGTGATGTGAGTATACATGTGAGTATGTATATGAATGTACATGAGGGTTTATGAGTGCATGTGAGTGTATATGTGTATGGGTGATTATATTGGTGTGAATGTACATGTGTGTACATTTGTGCATGTTTATGAGGTGTGTACATATGTGTATGTGTGAATATGTGAGTTATCTGTGTGTATACGGGTGTGTGAATTTATATATGCGAGTGTGCCTGTGTGTATTTGTATGCGTATATATGTATATGTGTGATGCAAGTGTATATGCATGTCTGTGTGTACCTGTGTGAAATTATGAGTGTGTATATGTGTGTATGTGTGAGTGTACCTGTGTGCATTTGTATGTATATATGAGTGTATATATACTAATGTGTATGTGTGAGTGTGTATATGTGTTAGTGTACCTGTGTGCATTTATGTTTGTGTGAGTACCCCTGTGCATTTGTGTGTATATAAGTGTGTATGAAGATGTGTGAGTGTATATATGTGAGTGTGCCTGCATGTATTTGTATGCGTATATATGTATGTGTGAGTGTATATGTGAGTGTGCATGTATGTGCCTGTGTTTTTGTGTTTGAGTATGTAGTTGTGCAGATATAATTGTGTACGTGTGAGTGTACTTGTGTGCATTTGTAAGTGTATATATCTGAATGTATATATGCGTACTTTTGTGCATTTGTGTGTGTGTATGTGAATGAACCTGTGTGCGTTTGTAAGTATATGCGTGAGCCCATATGTGAGCGTGTGTATGTGTGTGGCATGTTGATATCCCCCACCTCTAGCTAGGGTGAGTGGGGCGGCCCAGAACCAGGCCTTACCAGCTGATCCCTGATCCTCTCAGCCTGGCTTCCCTTGTGGGACCCCCCCTGTTCTCCCTGACGGGGTTCGGGGTGGCTCCCCAGGACATGACTCTGCCCATGTGGCAAAGACATCACGGCTGGGGGGTCTCCTCCAGCCCAAAGGTCTTGGGGCAAGGCTGCTCTGCGAAGGTCCTGGGGCTCCTCCCAGGAAGGGCCGGGGGTGTGGAGAGCTGCGTCCAGGCTGCTCAGTGTCCTGCCCAGGGCAGCCGCGAGCCCCCACAGGAGCGCCTCCAGGCCATCAGTGATGCTTCTGACCCCCGACGTGGCCCCGGGCAGCAGCGTGTCCCTCCCTCTTCCTTCCTGGCCTGCTGACCCCGGCCCTTCCTTCCTGCCCCGTCCCCCGGACCCAGAGCAGCACCTCAGTGGCCGTCCAGGAGGGGTCAGCTGCGAGACTCCCACGGCCTTCTCTGTCCCATCTCGTTTCCTCTGCCACCCTCTGCCATCCGCTGCTCCTGGGGCCCCGCCACTGCCTCCGGGTGCTGAGACATCGCGCCCCAGGCCTCCTGCTCGCTGTGCACGTCCCTCTGTCCCTCTGCGGCTGTCGGTCCTCGGCTGACAGAAAGGCCTCGTGTGAAGAGCTCCCGTTTCTCACCGTGTACCACCATGTGCCATGCGGCCGGGGCTGCAGGCGTCCCAGTGTCTCCCAGGACGACAGGAGGCAGGATAGAGCCCCCAAAGTATGATCTTAGGGTCTCAGGAAGGAGGAAGAGTGACAAGTCCTGCTATTTTGAGTGGGGGAAACTGGGAATTTTTGCTTTTCTCTTTGCCATGGACTGAGACTTCTTGGTCTGGGACTTTAGCACTGCAACTTCCAGACTGTGTGACGCTGGGTAAGTGTCCCCACCTCTCTGGGCTCCAGGAGCAAACAGCGGAGCAGTGCTGGTGAGATCCTGCGGGGCGGGTGCATTTCACGCAGTGTGTACTCCCCACGATGACACTCCTTTCCAGGGGACTGAGAGGGACCCCAGGGTCAGAGTCACACATCTGAAGAGATCAAGTAGCCCCTCCCCGTGTCCCCTATTTCCAAAGCCTGAGTGTCAGGTGAGGGGTCCCTGGAAGTTCAGGGGACAAACCCTTGTGTAATTTGGGCGACTCCCGCCCCGGCTGCCTGAACAGCCACGTGACCGACTGCAGTGGGCCCTGTGGAGGGCTGGGCTCTGCTTTCCTGGAAATCAGGGCACCGCTGAGAAGGTTTGGGGCTGTTGTTGTTTGGGGCAGGCCCAGGCCTGAAGGGGCAGGAACTAATTGTGGTCAGAGTGTGTGTGAAAGGCCAGGATGCAGTGCCCAGTCAGGATACTGCACTGAGCTCAGGAAGGAGCCAAACTCTGAGCCACACCAGGATTCTGACATCGACTCCTCTTCCAGGAAGCCCTCCTACATGGCACTCCTTATTTATGAGCACCTGCTTTGGTGGCCTGGGGCCCTGCTTTTTCCTGAGCAGTCCCTCAGGAAGTGGACTAGGCTCATCGAGCCTACTGTGGCCTCAGTTTCCCCACCTGCTAGACATACTAGGAGTGTGTGGCCAGCTTCCTCCTGTGAGGGGCTCTGCCCAGCAGTTTCGGGGGTCCCACAGTGTAAAATCTTACGCATGCACAGGCGATGGGCCCCTTCTCTGCTAGTGGCTGCCTGTGAGGGCGGCCCTGGCACCTCCCTCCCCACCCCTGGAGAAGCCGGCTCAAAGCCTCCAGCTTTGGTGCCTCTGACTCCTCCCAGACTCAGTTCCTCACCCGTCCACAGGGTACTTGGTGCCCGGCCTGAGTGAGTGAGCAGAGGTCCCAGGGAGGACCCAGTCAGGGGGACCTTCGGAGAGAAGCTGGAGGGGGAACCGCAGGGCGATGGGAAGTGCAAGTCATTCCAGAGGGGAAGTGGGGGAGGGGGGACCTCCCTCTCCTGAGGGGGAGGGGACAACATGCTGGTGGCCCTGGGGGAATCCACCCCTCCCCTGAGACACCCAGACTCCCACCTGCTCCCCATCTCCCCCCTCCGCCCTCCTCAACACCCCCTCCCCTGCAGAGGCTGGGAGGACACGGGGAGGTTTGGGCGGGAGCCCCTAAACTGTCTGTGTCACAGTACTGGCTGGCTGCTCCCTGCGTCGCCTCAGAGTTCGTCTGCCTGTCCCTCTGTCTGTCCATCCATGCATCCCTGCGGCGACCCCTGCCAGGCTGGGTTGCAGCTTCCCGTGGACCAGCGGCCAGCGCTGGCCTTCAGCTCCCTTCATCTTTGTGTCTGGGGGAAGGTTTCCTGACCTCCTGCCTCCCTGGCTCTGGCCACTGAGCGCCCCTGCCTTAAGGGGGGGGGGGGTGCTGCCCCAGCTCTGGGAGAACCCGGCTACCTGCAACACTTCCTGGAGGAGGGGGAAGTAGAACTGACCTTCGCTGCCTCTCCCTGCAGGGTTCAGGGGAGGAGCGGCGGTGCTCCCTTCTTCCTGAGGGTGAGGGGCAGCAGCTCTGTGCATCTGCCAAGGTGGGCAAGACCCTCTGCCCACCCCAACCCCACCCTCCCCGCTGTCCTGTTCTCAGAGGACTGAAGCTAAGGGTTAGGGGTTCAGGGGGTGACTGGTGTGACCCCACATCCTGACTCAGCCCCTGGGGCAACTGGGGACAAGATGGGCTGCCCAGTGGCGCCTGTGAGGCCTCCCGCCTGGCCCCCTTGCGAGGGACAGCAGCGCCTGGGAGCTGACACCCCCCCCCCCCGCCCCCGCCCCCGCCCCCGAGGCATTTCCCAATGTTTGGGGTTGGCGCTTGCACAAGACAAGGCAGCAGGCCAGGACTGCCCGCCCTGTCCCTCCCTGCCCGCCCCAGCTGCTGGGCTGGGGGACCTGAGGGGGGAGAACTGGCCTCACGTCCCCGGAGGCCCCCTCTCTGCCTGCAAACGCCCCCCAGAACAGATGGCTGATGTCCACCCTGCCAAGGCCACCCTCGGGGAGGGGACAGAGAGCAGGGCTGGAGGACATTCCCTGGGGGAAGGTGCTGTCCAGAGAGCAGGATGACCCCAAGTGAGACAGGGACAGGGACCAGGATGGGGGTCACCAGCACCCAGAGAACCAGGGAGGTGGAGGAACTGAGGCCCAGGAGGCTTGTGACACAGCAAGGGTTTGAGGGGCAGAGTCAGGCCAGCTGGAGCCCAGGGAGGGGTGGGGCCTCAGGTTTGGGGGAGCTGGCCTCACTTCCGCGGGCAAGTCCGGACCCCCACTCCTGAACCCCAGCAAGGGGCGCTGCCTGGGTCCCTGCGGACACGGACACGGGCGGGGGCGGGTGGCCCCTGGGGGAGAGGTGCCCGGGTGATGCCTCCTGTGACGCCGTCGCGTCGGAGCGCCAGGAGGTGGCACAAAGGGGCGGCGGGACGATGGGGCGGCCAGGTGCTGGCCCCCGCGGTGTCGGGGAGGGGAGTCGGTGGGCGGGGAGGGGAGTCGGGCCGGGCGGCGGCCGCGGGTTTTCCGCAGGGGCGGGCACGGCGGGGGCGGGGTCGGCTCGGCGACTATTTGTGGCCGCGCCGGCGGCGGCGGGGACACAGCGGCGGCGACAAGGTAAGGAGCGCCCGGCCCCGCTGGCCCCCGCGGAGAGACCCAGGCCCGCGCGGCGCGGCGCGGGGCGGGCGGGGACACGTGTCGTGCCGGGGCCAGGAGCCGCCTGCCGGAGTTGGGGTGGCCGCAGAGATCCCAAAGGAGGGCGAGGGGCGCGCAGGAGGAGCGCGGGGCTCTAAGGGGGGCGCGGCCAGCCCGGCCCGCCCCTTCCTGCCTGTCCAGCCCGTGGCCACCCCAGGCCTGACCTTCCTGCCCTCCTCTGCTCTCCTGGGCGGGGAGCCTGCTAGGAGCTGGCACCTGGCTGTGTGGTCTGCCACACACCCCCAGCAGCACTGGAAGGGTGTGCACCCGTTTCCCCAGCGGGGAAACTGAGGCTGGGAAGGAAGGGGGCCTAGTGGTCCAAATGCTGGGCTGTCTCTCCGCGGTCTCACAGTCCAGTTCAGGTCTCTGGACTGGGCAGGGGGCATCCTCTCCCTCAGCCGGGGACTCTGGATGCAGGATGGACAGGCGGAGCAAGGGGCCACCGGGCCTCCACCTGGTCCCCAGAGCGCCCCTGCTTGGTCCCAGAGAGGGGTCTTGGCCCTGACAGCTCAGGGGACCCCGGCGCGCACAGTGCACTTGGCGAGAGTCCTGGGGAGGAGCTCAGGCCGCAAGCCCCCAAGTGGCCCGGGGACAGTGAGGGGAGAAGCCCCTGGGGACCGGCAGACAGTGGTGACTCACGTGCCTCCAGCCCCCCGCCCAGCCCCCGTGTCCGGCCGCCCAGGCTGGGGCTGATGGATGGTATCCTGCTGCATGAGTCACCGCTTTATTTTCGGGCGCAGGGCAGGTGCGGCAGTGACCGTCACCCCAGTTACCAGGGAGGCTGGCCCTTTCCGCCTGCCTGTCCCCGTTCTCAGCTCTCCCACCCCTTCCCTCCCTGGCCTCGGGCCTGGCTGAGCCCAGTGTGGGTACCGGGCAGGGTCCAGCGACATGGAGCAGGCCACCTGGTGTCAGGTGGGCAGGGAAAGGCCAGCGCCCCGGGAGGGACGTGAAGAGTCACAGAAAGTGAAAGAATGACGGCGTATCACCTCGGGGCGAACAGGAACCCCAGAGAGGGGTTTGGCCCAGACAGCTCGAGGAACCCCAGGTGCTCTTTGCTCTCAGGTGGTCCCCAGCCTCGCCCTCCTGTGTCTGCCATGCCTCACCCCTCCCCCAGGCAGACAAGCCAAGGACGGGCTGCTCGTCCTCGCCCCGAGCCCGCTGCCCTTCTCCCTGCCGTTGCTGCGAGGGGCCAGTGGGGCGGTGGGGGTGGCTGTGGACACAGACAAGCTCTCATGGCAGGAGGCAGCCTGGCCTGCTGTGACGCCTGTCCTTGTCAGCCTGCAGCTCGGGGATGCTGAAGATGACAACCTACTTCCCAGGCCACCCTGGCCAGCAGCTGCCACCGGGTGCCCTCAACCTCCCCAAGGACCTGGGCACGGCCCTGGAAGCTGAGGTGGTGCCCGGGCAGGACAAGGATGAAGCTTCGCGGAAGGAGAAGAAGGCCAAAGGCCTGTCCACCATCTTCAGTGTATTCAGCAAAGGGCGGAAGAAGAAGGGGCAGCCCAGCACGGCGGAGCCCGAAGGAGTGGCGGAGGCCCCGGCCAGCCGAATGCCCACGGGTAGGTGGTGGGGGGTGGGCTTGGATGCCCACAGGTTGGCGGTGGGAGGGGGCCTCAGATGCCCACAGGTTGGCAGTGGGGGGGAAGCTCTGATGCCCACAGGTAGGCGGTGGGCGGGAGGGGGGGGCGGGCTGGCTGGCTCAGATGCCCACAGGTTGGCGGTGGGGAGGCTTGGATGCCCACAGTAGGCGGCCGGAGGGGGGCTTGGATGCCCACAGTAGGCGGCGGGAGGGGGGCTTGGATGCCCACAGTAGGCGGCGGGAGGGGGGCTTGGATGCCCACAGTAGGCGGCGGGAGGGGGGCTTGGATGCCCACAGTAGGCGGCGGGAGGGGGGCTTGGATGCCCACAGTAGGCGGCGGGCGGGGGGCTTGGATGCCCACAGTAGGCGGGGGGCGGTGGGGGGTCTCGGATGCCCACAGTAGGCGGCGGGCGGGGGCTCGGATGCCCACAGTAGGCGGCGGGCGGGGGGCTCGGATGCCCACAGGTAGGCGGTGGGGGGTGGGCTCGGATGCCCACAGTAGGCGGTGGGGGGTGGGCTCGGATGCACACAGTAGGAGGCTGGAGGGGGGCTTGGATGCCCACAGGTAGGCGGGGGGCGGGGGGTCTCGGATGCCCACAGTAGGCGGCGGGCGGGGGGCTCGGATGCCCACAGTAGGCGGTGGGGGGTGGGCTCGGATGCCCACAGTAGGCGGTGGGGGGTGGGCTCGGATGCCCACAGTAGGCAGCGGGCGGGCGGGGGCTCGGATGCACACAGTAGGCGGTGGGCGGGGCTCGGGGCAGGCGGCGGCGCTGACCCCCGACCCCGACCGCCGCCCTGCCTGCCGCAGTGGAGGAGCTGAAGGCCGCGCTGGAGCGGGGACAGCTGGAGGCGGCGGGGCCGCTGCTGGCGCTGGAGCGGGAGCTGCGGGCCGTGGCGGCGGCGGGCGGCGCGAGCGCCGAGGACCTGGTGCGGAGCCAGAGCAAGGTGGAGGCGCTGTACGTGCTGCTGCGGGACCAGGTGCTGGGCCTACTGCGGCGGCCCCTGGACGTGGCGCCCGCGCGGCTGCGCCAGGCCCTGGCCGTGCTGGCCGAGCAGGAGCGCGAGGACCGGGGCGCGGAGGCGACGCCCGGGCCCCCCGCGCTCGAGGCCACGCGGCCGCGGGGCTGGCTGCGCCTGTGGCGGCGCGACGTGGCGCGGGAGGCCGAGGAGCGGCTGGGCCAGGCGCCGGCGGCCGACGCGCAGGCGGCCAGCGCGGGCAGCTCGGAGGTCGAGCGCGTCTTCCTGCACATGGGCCGCACCACCAAGGACGCCCTGGAGGCCGCCGTGGCGCGGCTCCAGCCGCTCTTCCCCGCCGAGTTCCAGGTGGTGGCCGTCTACGCCGAGAGCTACCACCAGCACTTCGCGGCCCACGTGGCCGCCATGGCCCAGTTCGAGCTGTGCGAGCGCGACGTCTACACGCTGCTGTGCTGGGTGCGGAACTTCTACCCCAAGTGAGCGGGGCCGCGGGGGTCGCGGGGGTGGGGGGCGCCGACAGAGCCCCTGGCGGGAGGGAGCCTGGCCCCCAGGGGCGGGGTTTGTGCGGTGCCCACCCAATCCGGTGGAAGAGTGCAGGTAGGGGGCGGGGTTTGTGCGGTGCCCACCCAATCCAGTGGAAGAGAGTGCAGGTAGGGGGCGGGGTTTGTGCGGTGCCCACCCAATCCAGTGGAAGAGTGCAGAACAGGGGGCACGGTTTGTGCGGTGCCCACCCAATCCGGTGGAAGAGTGCAGAACGGGGCACGGTTTGTGCGGTGCCCACCCAATCCGGTGGAAGAGTGCAGAACAGGGGACGGGGTTTGTGCGGTGCCCACCCAATCCGGTGGAAGAGTGCAGGTAGGAGGCGGGGTTTGTGCGGTGCCCACCCAATCCAGTGGAAGAGTGCAGAACAGGGGGCACGGCTTGTGCGGTGCCCACCCAATCCGGTGGAAGAGTGCAGAACAGGGGGCGGGGTTTGTGCGGTGCCCACCCAATCCAGTGGAAGAGAGTGCAGGTAGGGGGCGGGGTTTGTGCGGTGCCCACCCAATCCAGTGGAAGAGTGCAGAACAGGGGACGGGTTTGTGCGGTGCCCACCCAATCCAGTGGAAGAGAGTGCAGGTAGGGGGCGGGGTTTGTGTAGTGCCCACCCAATCCGGTGGAAGAGTGCAGAACGGGGCGGGGTTTGTGCGGTGCCCACCCAATCCAGTGGAAGAGAGTGCAGGTAGGGGGCGGGGTTTGTGCGGTGCCCACCCAATCCGGTGGAAGAGTGCAGGTAGGGGGCGGGGTTTGTGCGGTGCCCACCCAATCCAGTGGAAGAGAGTGCAGGTAGGGGGCGGGGTTTGTGAGGTGCCCACCCAATCCGGTGGAAGAGTGCAGAACGGGGCACGGTTTGTGCGGTGCCCACCCAATCCGGTGGAAGAGTGCAGGTAGGAGGCGGGGTTTGTGCGGTGCCCACCCAATCCAGTGGAAGAGTGCAGAACAGGGGGCACGGTTTGTGCGGTGCCCACCCAATCCGGTGGAAGAGTGCAGAACAGGGGGCGGGGTTTGTGCGGTGCCCACCCAATCCGGTGGAAGAGTGCAGGTAGGAGGCGGGGTTTGTGCGGTGCCCACCCAATCCAGTGGAAGAGTGCAGAACAGGGGACGGGGTTTGTGCGGTGCCCACCCAATCCAGTGGAAGAGAGTGCAGGTAGGGGGCGGGGTGTGTGTAGTGCCCACCCAATCCGGTGGAAGAGTGCAGAACAGGGGGCACGGTTTGTGCGGTGCCCACCCAATCCGGTGGAAGAGTGCAGAACAGGGGGCACGGTTTGTGCGGTGCCCACCCAATCCGGTGGAAGAGTGCAGAACGGGGCACGGTTTGTGCGGTGCCCACCCAATCCGGTGGACGCATGCAGATGGGGCGGGGTTTGTGCAGTGGAGGCGTGCGGGGCTAGGACGGGAGACCTCGTGGAAGGATTGCCCGAGTGCCTCGAGCCTCCTGGTGACGCTTGGGGCCGTGTGGTGCCCAACCCAGGGCCTCTCGCCCGCAGGACTCGCACTTGCCCCTGGAGGCGCATCCCAGGCCCTTGCATTTTCATTTTCTGGGTCCTGGCCACCTTCACAATTGAAGGGAAACTGAGACACTGAGCAGGGCATGGGCCTCCACATTCCTCCCAGAGTTCCTAGTCCAGGGACAAGAGAGGCGACTGTGAGAAGCAGGGCACGAGCACTATGAGAGGAGGCAGGAGGGACCCAAAATCCCTCCTCAACCGCTCATGGTGGACAGAAAGGCAAGGGTGTCACAGAGAAGGAGAGGGGTTTTCCCTGCAAGAGGGTCGTCTTCCGGGGTTAGAAGCTGCACGCGGTGTCAGCACCCGGCTGATGCCCTGAGCACCTCTGGATTTCGGCGTGGGCATGGGGTCATCCCGTGCAGGGCTACTGGGGGTTGGGGGAGACCTCCAGTGTGCAGTGTCAGTATGACTCCTTAGGAGAGCCAGAGCCGGCCCCTGGGCTGGGAGGTGCCAGCTAGGGAACCTGGTCTCAGCTCAGCTCCCTACATGTGACATACCTGTGTGGAAATGCTGCCATGTGGGAAGTTCCAGTGGGCTGCCCTGCCCCCAGGAAAAGCCTGCAAGAAAGGGCAGGCGACATGGGAGCAGTGCCCAGGATCTCTGGGACTCTGCTGGTGGCCAGGCAGCCTCCAGTATGTTGGGGGCAGGGCTGGAGGAAGACCCGTAGGGATGAGGAACCCACTGGGCATCAAAAGACTGGCACAGGGCTGGGCTGGGGAATGCCAGGCAGCTCAGAGCCAGTTCCTTGTTTTGGCTCACCAGGAAACACCCCACTTAACCCCTTCTCAGTTTTCCTGTCCAGTGAGTGACCTTGAGGCCAGGTCCCAGGATTGCTGAGTGCTGAGGTCCCTCAGCTGGAGGCCTGTGTTATCAAACACAGGCCTGTGTCACGTGGGGAGCAAAGGGAGTCAGCTTTGCGTTCACCGGGGAAGGGGATGGGACCCTCTGAGCCGCCCACTGGCAAAAGCTATTCAGCAAGTTCCAGGGCTTGACCGACTCTGGGGACTCAGGAGCCCATAGAGGCGCCAGGCAAGTGAGTGGAGACGCCCTAGCAGGGCAGTATGGGGAGCAGCCCTTCCTGTTTGCTCTGGGTCACCCTCTGTACGCATCAAGGCGAGCTGCTGGGGGTGACCGCGGGGGGGGGGGGGGGGAGAGAGGGAGAGAGAGAGAGAGAGAGAGAACACTGCTGTAGTGCTCTAGGTTTTAGGGGGCGGGGGCGGGGGGGCCTCAGAGGAGGGTAACTCGGCACTGCAGGGTTCCAGGAGCTCTGGGGGGAAGGGCAGAGCCAGGAGTGGGGGTAGATTCTGGCAGTGGAGAAGAGAGTTGTGGGGCAGAGTTGGGGGCACCATCCATTTGGGGGTATTTTTATGCAGGGGTAGACAGACGTGGTAAGAGGGTAAAAGGAGGGTGTCTGGCCTGAACCCATGGAGCCATTGGAGGATCACCTGAAACGTAGCGGACTGGGGACCGCATTCTGCCCCAGATTGGGTGGGATATGGCAACTAGGGCATCGTGGCACACAGATGGGTGCCATTGCCTCAGGCCAGCCCTCTTGCCCACAGTGACATCATCAACAGCCCCACGCTGGCAAATGAACTGCAGGGGCTGAAGCTGGGGAGCCTCCTGCCCCCCAAGCAGGTCCAGACGCTGGAAGCCACGTTCCTGGCCAACGAGGTGGTGAGTCCCACGCGGGCCGGCGGGAGGGCGGCCCTGCAGTTGGGACTGATGGGGGCAGGGTGATGGCTCTGGCTTCCCTGACGTTTCCTCTGTCCTCAGGCCAATGTGAGGGTGCTGATGGGCCGAGCCCTGGAGGTGGAATCCCCTCGCTGGACCCAGGACATGGACCCCCCGTGGCTGGACGGCCACCGCCACAGTGAGCTGACCATTGACATCATGCAGGTAGCGCTGCTTCAACGTGTGCACAGGAGCTTGCCCCGCCCGTTTATCGCTGGCACCGCCCACTAGGACTAGCCCCGCCCTGTTGCCACCAAGCCCCGCCCCGCCCCGTTTAGCCCCGCCCCATCTCCACCCTGGTCCAGGAGCGCCCCCATCTCTCAGCTCACCAGGTCCTTTACCCTGCAGATCCTCTCCCAGAGCCACGCCAAAGCCAAGAGCATCAGCCCGGATCTGAGCTCGCAGATCAAGCCCTTGCTGCTGTCGGAGATGAATACGTTCCTGCGGAGGTGGGGCTCTGTGGGGTGCAGCGTGGAGCAGGCGGCGGGCACCCCAATGCAGCACGCGGAGGGAAAGCAGTGCTTTGGAGCGGGGAGGGCGCTGCCCCTGCAGAGAACTCAGTCAGTCCTGGGCACCACATAGGGTCCCCCGAACACTGATGTGATCCCCCAAATCTCTGCCCCCCACCGAAACAGTGTACACCAGCCTGTGAGCCCTGCCTCCTCCTAAGGATATCTCAGCCTCCTCCCCGCCCTCGGGGGTCCCCTTTATCTAAGCGGTCCCTGCTATGGCGGGGTCTGGGAGGAGGGGGCAGCAGAGGCATTCCCTGGGCCCCTGACCTGCAGCCGTTACCTGGAGGGCCCTGGCGTCCCTGTCTCTGCGTGACCCCATCCACCACCCCCAGCTACAAGCGCACCTTTGATGAGTTTCTGGAGAGCTGCAAACAGCTGAGAAATTACAGGGCCAACGTCATGGCCAACATCAACAACTGCCAGCTGTTCCGGTGAGGGGGATGCGGGACGGGGGCGGGGGGAGGGAATAGCCTGTGCTGGGATGCTGGGGGTGGAGAGGCGGAATAAAGGGCGTGAGAGGCGGGTGTGTAGCTGTCACCACTGAGTCAAGGAGCTGATGAAGGCCTGGGTCCCTCCCCCAGCACAGCCTTGGAGCAGAAGTGGCAGACCCAGCAGGACCTCCAGAACCTCCTCCTGGGCCCCCTGGCCGAACTCAAGAGCCACGGCTTTGACGTGCTGCTCCAGAACCTCTTTGGGGACCTGCAGGTGGGTGGGCCTGCAGGGGCTCGTGGCAGGGAAGGGGATGCCAGGGGCACCGTGGGGAGTCTGGACACCCACCGTGCTCCGTGCCAGGCAGACTCCCCCTAAGTCCCCCGGCTGGGAAGACCGGGTGCCCTGCCTGCCCTCTGCAGTGTCCTGCTTTATCGTCAGTGTCCGGGCCACATGTGTGGCCACAGCCACGTTTATGCAGGATCTGTTCACGTTAGAGGTGGTGAAGCAGGTGCCCAGAGAAGGGCACGTCCCGACCACCCCACTTCCCGTCTGGGGACAGGGACCGAGTCCTGCCCGGGACCCCGGGATCCCCCTGTTGGGCTGCAGGCTCTGCATGTGTGTGTGTGTGTGTGTGTGTGTGTGTGTGATACATGTGCGCGTACAGTGTGTGTGAGTGTGTATGGTGTGTGTTGTCTATATACGTATGGCGTGTGTATATGTGGTGTGTGTGTAGGGTGAGTGTGTTGTATGTGTGCATATGTGTGAGTCAGTGTGTATGGTATGTGTATATGAGTTGTGTGTGTATGTGTTGCGTGTGTGCATGCATGTGTATGGTTTGAGTGTGTGTAGAGTGAGTGTGTGTTGTGTGTATACATGTGGCGTGTGTGCATGTGTGTGTATAGTGAGTGTGTGTGTGTGTGTGTGTGTGTGTCTGGTGGCCCTTCCTGTTGTGGGGTTGTGGCCTGACATTCAGGCTCTTCCGTCCCAGCCACAGTTCAAGAGACTCTTGCAGAGCCGCAAGCCCGTGTCCACAGAGACCGTGGAGGAAATCGTGTCCACAGTGGGTGCGGCGCTGCCCGAGTTCTCCGCGCTGCTCGCCAGTCTCCGGGAGGTGAGGAGGGGTTGGAGGCGTGGGTGCTGGGCCCTGGGGCAGCCCTGCTGGCCGAGCTCACGGTGGCCGCCCGCAGGAGCTGCTGGAGCTGGTCCACCTGCACCTGGTGAAGGAGTTCATCCTCTGCCTCACCAAGCGACGCCTGGTCCTCAAGACGGCGGAGCAGCAGCTGGACCTGGCCGCCCAGATCCAGGCCAGCGCCAACCTCATCCAGACCTTCTGCACCCAGAACGTAAGCCTGCCCACCGCCCGCCCTGGCCTCTCGCCCCCTGCACCCCTCCAACCCTGCCTGTGCCCGCAGGGATCGCCCGCCACGTGGCTGCAGCAGGCCCTCCCCACGCTCGCCGAGATCATTCGCTTGCAGGACCCTAATGCCATCAAGATCGCCGTGGCCACTTATGCCACCTGGTATCCCGACTTCAGGTGAGCGCCCAGGCCCTCCCTGTTCGTCTATCCATTCATAGTTTTCTCCCTCCTCCCCTTCCTCCCCATCCATCACTTTATTCCTCCCTTCATTTGCCTGTCCATCCATCCATTCGTCCATCCATCCATCCATCCCATCCACCCCTTCCTCTTTCCATCTGGGCTCATGCATCACCCTTGTGCCCGAGCCTCCCTCCATCCCCCCACCCACCCATCATCCATCTTCATGTCTACCCTCCCCCGTCCCTTCATTTCCCTTTCATTCTCCCATCCATCACTTCCTCCACTTCCTCCACTCATTCACGCACCCACATGCCCAGGTACCCACCTAGTCGTGCATCCAGGTGCTCTTTAGTGGGTGCGGTAAATGGGTGAGACAGGCAGTCTCGTTCCCCCCGCGAACTCTGAGCAGCTGCGGGCTGCCTCCCCTGCTGAGGCGCTGGGCACTGGAGCCGAGGTCAGAGCATCAGAAGCACTGGTGGGAGTGCAGGGAGAACCTTCCAGGAGGGGGAGCGAGGGTGGAGCCGGCTCGAGACCCCTCACGGCGCCTCCTCCTCACCAGCAAAGGCCACCTGAATGCCATCTTGGCCATCAAGGGGAACCTTTCCAGCAGCGATGTCAAGAGTATCCGGAGCATCCTGGACGTGAGCGTGGGGGCACAGGAGCCCTCCAAGCCCCTGTTCTCGCTTATAAAGGTCAGCTAGTCCCGGGCCTGCTGCCCCAGCTTGGACTGCTTCACCTCACGTCTGTCGGGCTCCTACCTCCAGCCTCCGTCTCCACCCGGCTGGCACCAGATGCAGCCCATGGGGGGCCCGCAGGCCCTCCCGAGAAGCCCTTTGGAGAAGACTGTGTGCTGAGGTGCGGGCTGGGCAGGGAGTCTGGCTGTGGCCCCCTACTCGGGGCCTATCTCCTCTGGGGCCGAGTGGTCTGGCCAGAGCTGAAGAGAAAGAAGGAGCGTGAGGTCACTGGCAACGTCAGAGGGAGCCCCGATTGCCTCGTGGCCCCAACTCAGACCCTGAAGAATCCTGTCTGCATTCCCCAGCTCGCCCTCCCTGCTGGACATGGGGTTTGGGGGGTAAGGGGCAAAGCTTGACCGCTGACCCCAATCTGGGTCTGCTGTGGGACTGGTCACTACTGTCACGGTTTCAGACGGGGCCAGTGCTTGGGGCAGTGCAGACAGTCCAGCGCAAACCCACGCCTCACCGGCTGAGGCCCTTCTAGAAAGTTCCAGGGGCTAACTCCTCACCTTCAGAGGTCAGAGGTCTCCCTGTTCCAGTCTTGGGAACCTCTGACCTTGAAGCAGGTGGTAGCAGGGACCCACATCCAGCTTTTCGTGCCCGCCTCCCTGGACAGAGCACCCCGACGCTGGGCTCCCTTGTGGAACCCCAGGGTGCCAGCTGTCTGTGTTTCGGGCTGGGGACATGGGGCCCTTCTGGACTGCCTACCAGGGGGGAGGGGGTGCCACACCTCTGCGTGTCAGGAGAAGGTCCTCCTGGGAAGCCTGTACAGGCGCAGCTTCTGGGCGCCCTGGCTGGGTCGGCGTCAAGCTGGGCCCTGGGGCCCTTCGAGGATCTGGGTCGGTGTCTGCAGTCCCTGGAGCGGCGTGTGGGACACCTGAAATACATTTCTGACACTCACTGCCTCTGCGTGCTCTGTCTGGGCCGGCCGGGGAAGGGGACGTCCACACGCCGGTGGGCTGACCTCTGCGCAGCCAGGGCACAGGGGACACCTGTGTAAGCCTGAGTCCCACCCAGTATGGCCCACCCCTCTTCACCTGACCTGGGCCTCAGTGCACCCCAAAACCCCCTCTGTGCTTCGTGTCATTCCCCATCACCCCGTGTCCTCGCCCGTCACCTCTCCGTGCCTCAGCTCTTCACTGTTGGGAGTCCCCGTCCCCCCTTATCCTGACGTCCTTTCCTGACCAGGCTTGCAGCCCTGTGGGTCCCCTGGAACTCTGGCATAAGCCCTGAGAGCAGTGCCCCTGTCTGGGCTAGGATGTGGGGGGCAGAGTCCTTGGGGGCATTCTGAAGAGTCCAGGCTCAGTAGAGGGTCCACTGGACAGAGGGGGCTGAAGCGGGGAAGGGAAGGCACTTTCTAGAACGTTTCATCCAAGGGACCTCGGGGCACCTATGCCCAGAGCCAGCACACCCCAGCTCTCTGTCCTCAGCACCCATCACTCCTTAGGGGGCCTCCTCGCCTTCCCAGGCTGCAGGGAGCAGCTGAGTCTGGGCCCCCACGGCTGCTGGCCGGTTCCCACCGTGCGCAGCCCCTTCACCCACGGGGCAGTGGAGCGCTCGGCGTGGGGCAGGGGTGGGCACGGGCTGGCGTGAGGTCCTGTCCGGGTCACCAGTGGCCCTGCAGGTTCTAATGCGTGACTTCCCTGGCAAAATCCGCCCAGGGAGGAACTTCCGGGAGGGAGAAGTGAGTCATGGGTGCTCCTGGGAAGGAAGGGAGCAGCAGAGGTCAGCGGGAGTGACCGTAAGTGGGGGCTGCCCCTGCTGGTAGCCATTGGGAATGTGCCCAAGTCTCTACCCAGGGCTGATCTGACACTCCGGGAAGCCCCCAGGAACCCCAGCTAGTTCAAGTGTTGTGTGTGTGTGTGTGTGTGTTTTTGTGTTTGCACATGCACATGTGGGTATAAGTGTGATTATGTATATATGTGGTGTATATGTGTGGTGCATGCGCATGTATGTGTGGAATGTGTGTGGTGTGTATGTGCATGTATGTGGTGTGTGCATGGTCTGTATGTGTGCAGTGTGCACTTGTATGTGGTCATATGTGTGTGGAGTATTGGGGTTTATGTGTGTGGGATTTGGAGAGTTAAGGGGCAGCCCTGGGCCCCCATCCCAGCTGATCCGATGGGACCTGCAGGGTGCCGGGTGGGCTTCTGCTTTAGCAGAAAGTGGCTGGGGCCAGGGATCCGAGGGAGCCGAGTATGGAGGGGCGAGGGGCCAGTCCTGGGAACTGGGGTTCGCTCGGCTCTGTGGGCCCCTCTGGCCACTGGGTCAGGCATGCTGGGTTTCCGCAGAGGAGCTGGAACGGGGGTGGAGTGGGGGATCTGGGGTTGGGTGTAGCAGGATCCTGAGTTCCCCTGAGAAGTAGGGGGCACGTGCTGCTCCCCAGATGAGGGTGAGTTCAGCCCTGGGAGATACCAGAGCGGAAGTTGGTTTTTTTTTTTTAGGAGTACTACTATTTATTCAGCCACTGATTAGCTGATTAAATTGGGCATGAACTCCACCTTAATTTTTTAATTTATTTTCTTTTTATAGGGCTGGAGCGATAGCACAGCGGGTAGGGCGTTCGCCTTACACGCGGCCAACAAGGCCGACCCGAGTTCGATTCCTCCGCCCCTCTCGGAGAGCCCTGCAAGCTACCGAGAGTACTCGATATGCCAGACACAGTAACAACAAAGTCTCCAATGGAGACGTTACTGGGCCCGCTCGAGCAAATCGACGATCAACGGGAGGGCCTTTACCTTTTACCTTTACCTTTTTATATTTATTTATTGAATCACTGTGGGAAAAGTTACTAAACATTCAGGTTTAAGTCTCGGTCATACAATGATCAAACACCTTTCCCTTCACCAGTACTCATTTTTCACCACCAAGAACCCCAGTATACCCCCCCTCACCCCTCCAAATGCCATGAGGCAGATGATTTCTACTTAACTCTTCTCTACATTGATTACATTCATTATTTTGACAAAAGATGCACCATTATTGTTTAGAATTTCCCCCCAAACAATCAGAATTGCTGAAGTTTTTTTTTTCATTTTTTATAATTTTATTTATTGAATCACCGTGAGAGCAGTTACAAAGCTTTCGGATCTAAGTCTCGGTCATACAATGAAACACCCACACCTTCACCAGTGCCCATTCTCCACCCCCAACAACCCCAGTGTACCCCCATCCCACACCCTCCCCCTACCTGTGGGGCAGATGATTTCCACATTACTCTCTCTCTACTTCGGTCACATTCAATATTTCGACACCAGACCCACCTTATTATCTGAGATTTTATCCCAACACTAGGGCTGGAGCGATAGCACAGCGGTAGGGCGTTTGCCTTGCACGCAGCCAGCCTGGCCGACCCGAGTTCAATTCCTCTGCCCCTCTCGGAGAGCCCGGCAAGCTACCGAGAGGATCTCGCCCACCCGGTAAAAGCCTGGCAAGCTCCCCGACGTATTCGAGATGCCAAACACAGTAACAACAAGTCTCACGAAGGAGACGTTACTGGGCCCGCTTGAGCAAATCGATGAACAACGGGAAGACTGACAAAGACAGTGACAGTGATCCCAACACTCAGATCTGCTGAAAAGGCAACCATAGACAATTTGTGTTCTATTGCTGGTTATGAATAACATATGATGTCGCATGGCTGCAGTAGTGGCTGCGCGATTTTGAAATTCTGAAATCTTTACACTTAAATCTGAAGGGATTTCTGCCAAAACCTGCTGGGTTCTGAGATTTTCTCCTGAGTCTCTGGGATCATGGCCATGAAGTGGCTTGATCAGGAGCCAGAAAGGCAGTTCGTGGGTGATGACTTGGGGTCTCGTTGGCGTGGGGAGGACAGGACCGGCTCCACCCCCATCCCGTGAGGCCCAAAATGTCTCGTCACTGCGGGCCCAAACCTGACTGTCCAGTGGCCTCTAGAGGATGACGGCCACCGAGCCACCAGGGGAAAGCAGGCGGAGAGACAACACCCTTTCCCCCCAGGGTGGAAGTTTGAGACCTGTGTGAAAGGAGGCGGGGGTCTCCTGAGCACCTCTGCTGCGGGAGCCCCATCCTGCATAGACCCCACAGGCCAGCGCCGCTGCGTGCAGACCACAGACCCACAACCCTGGGGAAAGCCGCAAGGCGCCTGGTGTGGGCCACCAGCTAAGGGCAAAGGCAGGGCGGCAGGGCTGTAGGCGACAGAGCAAGAGGGCAGGTGGTGTGGCTCGCTGACACAGCCTGGAGCGACCACACCAAGAACAGTGAGTGTGTATATGTGTGTGTGTGTGTGTGTGAGTGTGCGTCTATGAGTGTGCGTATGTGTGTGCGCATATGTGTGTGCGTGTGCGTGTGTCTGTGCATGTGTGTACATATGTGCATGTGTGTGTGCATATGTGTGTATGTGTATATGTGTGTGGTGTATGTGTGTGTGCATGAATTTTGTTTCTTTTGGAGCATACCTGGCAACACTCAGGGCGTCCTCCTGGCTCTGAGCTCATATCACTCTCGGTGGTGCTCGGGGGACCACATGGGATGCCGGGGGTCAAGTCCAGGCAAGCACCCTCTCCACCGGACTATCCAGCCCGTCTATCCCTTTCCTCCCTTTGCTATTCTGGGAACAGCCCAGCATTCGAGGAACCTGTGTAATACACCAATCTGGCAGGAATTGGGGCAGGGCACACGAAAGAGTAGGTAGCACCAGCTCTGGGATCACGTCCTTTCTCATTAGCCAGGAACTCTGGCGTCTGGTGAGGTGAAGGCCTGAGGCACGAGCTCTGGCTCCCTGTGGTCAGTTGCAACCCTGACGCAGGGACAGCTCATCCCCCCAGCCGCTGTCCTTGGAGCAACGTGGCAGGAGTGAGTATGTCCTCCACGCCCGGAGCCCTGACGGCAGCTCCTCATCACGGACTTGTGCGCGACCCCCTGACAGGACCCCAGGGATCCAAATGCAGCACTGGACAGTCCACTGTTTGCCCGCTCAGGAGTCAGTCAGTAAAGACTGTGGCGTTTGGGAATAGCTGCTTGCACCGGGAGAATCAGTAACGGAGGTCCGTTCCCAGAAGCAGGCTCGGGAAACACCCACATCCTGGCGAGGCAGAACATGAGTCACACCTGGACTGAATCCTCAGTCACTTCAGAACGTCGGAACTCAGGGAAGCTCAGTTAAAAACAGGGCTCAACCTTGTGGACAGCAGGTATGAGCCGGGAGTGTGGGGGCGACTAAAACCTCATGGGAAGGGGGGCGTTCCGGTCCGTCCTTCACGCCCTACCGAGGTCACCAGTTGCCCCCCACGAACGGCTCTCCAGCACGGCCACAGCCCCAGAAGCACAAGGGCTTAATGCAGAACCCAGCAGCTTGGAGCAGAAAAGTGAAAGGACTATGCGTTAATCCAGGCAATCATTTCTGCCCAGAGGGGAAAGGGTGTTGCTCCCTTCCGCCCTCCTCCCTCTGGAAAGAAAGATGGCGGCCACATGGGGGCCTTGTGGACAGCAGATATGAGCCGGGGGTGTGGGGGCGACTAAAACCTCATGGGAAGAGGGGCGTTCTGGTCCGTCCTTCACGCCCTACCGAGGTCACCAGTTGCCCCCCGCGAGCGGCTCTCCAGCACGGCCACGGCCCCAGAAGCACAAGGACTTAATGCAGAACCCAGCAGCTTGGAGCAGAAAAGTGAACGGACTCTGCATTGATCCAGGCCATCAAGTCTGCCGGAGGGGAAAGGGTGTTGCCCCATTCGCCCTCTCCTCTTTGGAAAGAAAGATGGCGGCCACATGGGAGCCTTGTGGACAGCAGGTATGAGCCGGGAGTGTGGGGGCGACTAAAACCTCATGGGAAGGGGGGCGTTTCGGTCCGCCCTTCACGCCCTACCGAGGCCA